TTTTTCTCCGGTACCGGGAACCAAACTCACGACCTTGCGCTTGCCAGGCAGGCGCTTTGCCACTGAGCTAAATCCCCAGCCCCCACATTTACATTTCTATATTACATAACATGTTATGACATATTACATTTATATTACGTATTCATATTATGCTAAATATTATATAAATTTACATGCCACATAGTAATTACTATTGACATTTATGTCAGGTTGTTATATATTACATATTTACACATTTAATTAGATATTGCATATAATAAATATATTACTTAATATATTATTGATACTGTGTACTTACATTTACATAATATATTCATACTTTTATATTCAGTAATATTTGGTACATTAGCGATGGTGTGCAGCCACCCCGCCCATCCAGTCCCAAAACATCTTCATTTTCCCCCGAAGAACCCCCTCCCCTGTTACCAGTCACTCTGTGTCCCCCACCCTCATCCCGTGGTTCCCCTGAACCCACTTCCTGCCCCTGAACCCCCCTGTTCTGGACGTTCTGACCGACGGAGCCGCACGCTGTAGCCTTCCATGTCTGCCTTCGCTCACTGAGCCCCGTGTTTTCCAGGCGCGTCCACCTGGTGGCCTGGGTCAGTGCCTCAGTCCTTTTCACGACTAATTTTTCATTTGTTCTGATTTTTACAGACTGCATTACAGCACTGTTTTATTTATCACTACTTATCCGGATGCCCGGGGCTTTGGGTGCCTCTTACGCTCGGCACCCGGGGCTGGTGCCTGACTCTCCCTCCCCCTCTGCCTTCCGGTGGCCACAGACATGGACACCAATGGCCCCTTTGTAAGATGCCCATGGAAGCAGTGGCCAAATCCCAGCAGTTGAGACCCAGAGGGCTGAGCTGTCGCCTGCATGCATGTGTCCACCCTTGAGTACCACTCAGAGAACCCCGAGGGCCTCTACCAAGCCCTGGGCTCTGGCCCCTGTGTCCATGGCACTTTCCCTGGTGTCTAAGGACCGTGAGACCCAGGCCGCTACAGGACTAATACACCCTGGTGGCCGGGGTTTGGTGGCTCAGACACGGAGGCCGGGTGGACCTCTCTCCCTGGCCTGCCCCTGCAGGTACGCCGGCCCCATGGAGCGCGCGGGAGCGGAGAGCATCCTCACCAACCGCTCGGACGGGACGTTCTTGGTGCGCCAGCGGGTGAAGGACGCGGCAGAATTCGCCATCAGCATTAAGTAACTCCTCCTTCCCTAGTCCCCTCCCCTTTGACCTGGGCTCCGACGACGCCTGCAAAGAAGGGGAACGCGGTTTTCACTTTATAAACAGTCACGACAGTCCCTTTCATCGAGGGACTCCTGGGTCTGGGGCAGTTTTACCTTATTTCCTTGAGTTGACTAGCAGGTGCAAGAAAGATGTCATTCCTAGGGAGGCTCCCAAAGACCGTCCTCCTGTGATGGGTTGTAAACTGCAGCCACCCGGCTGTGCCGTGGAACACCAGAACTTACTCTTCCCGTGTAACTGTGTTTTCAAGCTCGTTATGCAAGTCCCTCTACTTTCCCCAGCCCTTCTCAGCTATGAGTGACTATAGTTCCATTTTCTTCTTCTCTGAAACCAACATTTTCAGCTTCCGCATATGAGTAAGAGTGGGCAGCGTTTTTGTTCTGTATCCCGTTTATTTCATTTAATGTAACATCCTCCAGTCCCATCTGTGTTGCCACACATGACAGGATATCATTCTTTTTTATGGCTGGGTGATATTCCATTTTGCATACAGAGCGTTGTTTCTTTTTTTTTTTTTTTTTGGTTTTTCTCCGGTACCGGGAACCGAACTCACGACCTTACTCTTGCCAGGCAGGCGCTTTGCCACTGAGCTAAATCCCCAGCCCCAAGCTTTGTTTTTTTATACATTCATCTGTCGGTGGGCACCTAGGCTGATTGTGTACCAGCAGACGTGGGAGTGGATGTGTCTCTTTGATCTTCTGATTGGATTTTCCTTGACTCTCTACTCTGTAGTGGGATGACCTGACCGTAGGGTAGATCTGTTTTAAATCTTTAGAAGAACCTCCCTGTACTTCTCCATAATAGCTGTTCTAATTTATATCCTCCCCCACTGCCTTGTAATTTTTTTGAATTATTGGGGATTGAACCCAGGATCTGCACACTGAATTACATCTCCAGCCCTTTTAAGTTTTTTAAAAATTTATTTTGAGACAGCGTTTTACTAAGATGCTAAGTTTCCCATGCTGGGCTTGAACTCGTGATCTCCTTCCGTAGGCTGGGGTTATAGGTGTGCAGCGCGGTGGCTGGCCGCTGTATTGTGGTCTTCAGTAGGGGTTCCCCTGTGGGAATCTAATGCTGTGTGAAGAATTTGCATTTGCTTCTTTTGAGCTCATCAACAAGTTAATTTATTTTTTTAGGTTAACACGTAGGTTCATTTTGTTTGCTTTGTTTTTTGCAGTACTGAAGATCAGACTCAGGGCTTTTGTACTGAGCTGTATCCCCTGCCCTTTATAAATAATTTTTTTTTTTTTTTTGAGAAAAGGTGTTGCTGGACGAAATTGCCCAGCTTGGGCTTCAACACATGGTCTTCCTGCCTCAGGCTACTATAGCCCTAAGATTACAGGCGTGTGTGAGCATGCCTGACTCATTTAAACTGATTTTTTAGGCGTTACTTTCTTAGCTTCCCAGCTTACATTTATTTATTTTTTATATTTAAAAACTCGGGGGCCGAGGATAGAGCTCAGCAGCACAGTGCCTTGCTCGGCAGGCGCAGAGTCCTGAGTTCGATTCTTGGTACCAAAAATAATAAATACATTTTTAAAATTTTAATTCATTTTGATTATTTATATTTTATTGGCATTGAACCCCAGACCTACAAGAGGCCATGCCTAAGACAGGAACCCCCAAGAGATCAGTTCTTTTCCGCTTTGGGTCTGAGACACAAGCTTTCTGACCACTGCCTTTGTGGTTTCCTGGCCTTCCTGTTTCTCTGAAGATGTAACTGTTCGGATGGTCCAGGCTGACGGACGAGGGGCCGGTCGCCGCTCCAGCCTGCACCCAGGCCCAGGAGCTCACATTTCAGGGCCTCAAGACCCGAGCCCCTGGGCGACTGGGGCCAGCAGACCTCTTGGAGGGACAGAGGAGCATCAGCTCATGCTTACTGCTCGGCCTTTAGTTTCATCTTTCGCTTTGACCTCCGGGGATTTCCCCCGCTTCTGTTTGAGAACTCATCGATTTTTTCCCTGTGTATTTCTGGAGGGTTTAGTGAGAGGGCTTTTCAGGGTGCCGTGTTGGCCGAAGCGCTTGTCTCACCCTGGGTTCCTTTTAGTCCGTGGTCCGCCGTGCTGGCTGCGGCGGTTCTTCCCTTCCGTAGCCTTTGTGTCCCACGACCCTCAGGACTGGGGCTAGTGGCGTCTCCTCTGCGTTGAAGAACGTTGCTTTCGTCGCAAGGGCTTGTTGACTTCCCTGTAGACCTGCGCACAGGGAAGAGGAGGCCTCTTATTTGCGATGAGAACTGCAGGGATTCCGCCGGGACCTTTCCCCTTGCTGGGCTTAGAGGTCGCCCTCCCCTGAAGGAGCCGAGGTTGCTTCTTCCCGCACTTGCAGCCTGGAGCCGAGACTTGCAAGGGGACCGGACTAACCACCCAGTCTTTCTCTTTCTGGCTCTAGGTATAATGTCGAGGTCAAGCATATCAAAATCACGACGTCAGAAGGACTGTACCGGATCACAGAGAAGAAGGCTTTCCGGGGGCTTTTGGTAAGGGCCAGTGTCCGCCCAACCCTGAGCCCGGGCAGCACCCTCCAAGAACCCATCTTCAGACCCGCATTTTCCATATTCACAGTGACCCCTCTAAAGGCACCGTGGAATAGCTGGCCTTCCACTTCCCCTCCCAGTGGCCAGCAGTGAGAGAAACCCTAGCAGTGGATAGCGGCAGTGCACGCTTGCGGAGCGGTTGCTAGTGTCAGCGTGTCACAGCTAGGATTTCAGAGAACCCCCAGATTCATCCTGTCAGAGCCCAGAGTCCGTCTCGCTTCCAGGTTTAGCTCTGCATAACCTGCTGAGGACCATTCTGCTAAGAATTCAAATGCCTTTCGGGTATTTTGGCTTCCGTTTGGTGCCCTGTCATTTTTGATAATTTTTTTTTTTTTAATAAAAGGAGGAAAACATTAACAGACAACATTTTACAAAATAGCAAAAGAACAGTACAGACAGTACGGAGTTACAAACAAAGTGGTAGGGCATTAACAATGCTTGTTGTCTTATATATTGATGATAATTTTTTTTTTTTTAATTTTCATTTGAAAGAAAATAGTACAAAAAAGAACAATAGCAAAAGGCAAACAAAACAACGCAAGGACATGAAAAATGATACGGGGTTTCAAACCAAATGATAGGGATTGACAGTGGTTTTATATTACATATTGTTATCTTCAACCAAGTTGCTCAGATTACCAGATGTAAGAATAGAAGGTTGATCAAATCATTAAAGGGAATAAGAAAACAATAATTTAAAAGAACATTAGAGACAATACATAATTTATTTTTGATACTCTTTTAGACCTTTTAAGCCTGTTGGTCTAAGACCCACGGGTCTTACCCAGGGTCTAAGGGTCCTCGAGGAGCCGGGGATTCCTCCAATGAAAGTCCAGAATTCTGTACCTGAAGTGTCTGCATGTTATTTTGGAAGCGTGATGTCTGAGATTTTACTTGATCTTCAGAGGAGCCCTTGATTCCTCAAAAGGTTAATTCATTCCACAAATACTTATTTCTCCCTTAAACTTTTAATTCTGAAACTGTTTGTTTGTTTGTTTGGGGTACTGGACATTGAATCCAAGACCTTCACAGTGAGCCACATCCCCAGCCCTTTCCCATTTTTTATTTTGAGACACGATCTTGCTAAGTCACTAAGCTGCCCTGGCTGGGCTTTGAATTTGCTATCTCCCCGACTCAGCCTCCGGGAGTGCTGGGATTACAGGCATGCACCACCATGCTTAGCTCAAGTTCCTTGTTTCTCAGAAGTATAGGAAAAAGTGCTGCAGTAGTGTAATGAACATCTATGAACCTTTCATGTGGATTTACTATTTGTTAATATTTGGTTTCTTTTACTAGAAGCTCTCTCTTTCTCTCTTTCTCTCTCTCCCTCTCTCTCTCTCGCTCATGCACTATTTAGGAATAGAATGAGAATTCTTTGCCCAAAATGACTTCAGCACGAATCCTCCAAGGGCCAAGTTATCACCACACACAGGAAGCTGAACAATGAGAAGGACCTATGGTCTAATACTATAGAGTTCCTATTAGAAGCTGCTCCATTGTACCACTTACACTTTTTAGCTGTTTTCCCGCTGGTATCTGAGCAGGCACTACACATTATATTTAGTTTTTACCCCCTTAGTCTTTTGTTTGCAATAATTTCTTAGGTTTTTTTTTTTGTTGTTGTTGTTGTTGTTGTTGTTTGGTTTTTCTCCAGTACCGGGAATTGAACTCACGACCTTGTGCTTGCCAGGCAGGCGCTGTGCCGCTGAGCTAAATCCCCAGCCCTGGGTTTTTGTTTTTTTTTAATCTTTCATTATCTTTGAATATTTTGTGTCTAGAACTCCCAAACGTGGAGTATCTTGTTTTGAAGAATATTTTAAAAATTTGACTTGCCTGATTATTTGCTCATTATTAGAATTTGGCTTATGAACAATTTAGCTTCTCTGTGACTCGGTCTGTCCAATTATGAGATGGCAGAATCTAGAACATATTCATCCTGCAGGATTTTTAGGAGATCTGGGTGATTTCTACTACTACTATTGCTACTGCTGCTACTAAAGATGAGGCCCTTGATACCCATAGTAGGCCTTAAATTTGGTGAGCTCATTATTTGTTAAATTTACCTTGAAGTGAATTAATTGGTTATTAGGAGAACTGGTCGTGGGCTGTTAGATTTCTTCCCCATAACATGGGCCTCGCGGCTCAGGAAGGGAAGGAGTTCCCCATTGTGGGAGGCATGCAAGGAGTCATTTGCCAGGGGGTCCAGGAAAGGGACCCTGGCTCTGCCCCCTTGTGGTCAGGCCAGGTGGAATAGCATGTATGGTGCTGTTCTTCCAGGAGCTGGTGGAATTTTACCAGCAGAACTCCCTGAAGGATTGCTTCAAGTCCCTGGACACCACCTTGCAGTTCCCCTACAAGGAGCCCGAGCGGAGAGCCATCAGCAAGCCTCCAGGTGGGTCTTAGGCCGGGGCCTGCAGCCCTGGCTTCCCCCAGGCAGGAGGGAGAGTCTGGGGGGTCCGGGCAGCCTTTCCGATGGGTGTGCAGAGGTCACACCTGTGCCACAGCAGAACTTCTGACCTTCTCTGTATTCTTTTGCTTGTGTGGAGGGTGGGGTGAGGATCACTCTTCAATCTGCAAAGGTGAAGACACTACAAATCCAAAAATGATTCCCCTTGCACCTTAAAAACCTGTGTTTTTATGCCAATATCAAAGGTGGTTTAGTATGTATAGCCTCCTTCCCCAGTAAGACAAGACGTTCAGGGCCCGCTTACTCCCTTTCCCTTGCGTCTGTCACCTCCCAGCTTTGTTGGAATTATTTGGAGTTATCGGATACAGTTTGCCGTGCGTTAGCACAATTACAACAGTGACTTTAGGAGTCCATTCTTCACAACTGCATTTAACTTCACAAATACATTGTCAAGAATTCTTCAGACTCCATCTGTATTTGTTTTCCCTGTTTTTATTTTAAAAAATGTAATTGTGATTCGTGTTTCATTTTGCTGGTGTGCATCCTGCAGTATATTTTTCAGAAAAGTCACATGGGTAGGATAGTTTTTGAATTTTTATATGCCCACACATTTTCAAGAGAAGGATTTAAGAATTACGATTAAAAGGTTCTATTCTATTGTATTCTGTTCATTTTGGTTTTTTTAGACAGGGTCTCACTGTGTATAGCCCAGGCTGGCCTCAAACTCACAGCGATCCTCCTGCCTCAGCCTCCCAAGTGCTGGGGTGACAGGTGTACATACACAGGCTAAAATGTTGTATTCTTCAGAAAGGAATGTGAACATATTAATACTTTGAAACAAAAATTGTTTCTATTCTCTACTCAACAAAATCAATGTTTCCACTTCTCTCCATATCATTGACATGCCCTGCTGTGTGTGTATCCAATCTAGACTGCCACAAATTAATTTTACATTTTACAGTTCCACTTACTGTGAAAACTTTACTGTGTCTTCCATCTCTCCCTTTACTTCTCTTTCCCTCACTCTCTGTCTTTTTTGGACCCTTGATCCTCCTTAAGAAAATGAAAAGTAACAGCCTAGAATGAACTTTTTCATAGTTTTCTTCTTATCCTTTTTCCTACAAGTGCACTCATCCTTTAGCTTCCGGGGGGGTTGACTCTAGGGCCCCCTCAAATCCCTTGCACACACTAGTGCAGTATTCACACAAAGCTTGCACACACCCTCCTGAGACTGCACATCATGACCTGCAGGGTCTCATTCAATGTAAACGACACGTAATCAGCTGTTGTACGTATCGTGTCGGGAGCGGCAACAAAAACAAGTCTAGGCGCGTTTAGTACGGCCACAACTTTTTTCTTGAATATTTCTCATTTGTGTCTGGTTGAGTCCATGCAGGCTGGATCCACAGAAACTGCGGGCCAGATGTACAATAAAAAATCATTAAAACAATCTCAAAGATGGTTGCATTTTTCTAAATTTGGATATTACTCAGGGCGGGAAGATGATGCTGGCTTTATGGTCCTGCGCTGGGAACGTAGTGAACACCGAACAAAACAGGGAACCGAGCCCAAAGAGGCCCCTCAGCCAGAGCGCGCCTGAGAACACGTGTCGCCTCGCTGCTGCCCCCACCTGGTGGTGCAGGGGCCAGACTCACCCACCTCCGTTTTCTGTTCACAGCGGGGAGCACCAAGCATTTTGGCACAGCCAAAGCCCGCTACGACTTCTGCGCCAGGGACCGATCAGAACTGTCCCTGAAGGAGGGTGACATCATCAGGATCCTCAGCAAAAAGGGGCAACAAGGCTGGTGGCGAGGGGAGATCTACGGCCGGGTGAGGAGGCACAGGGATGGTGTGGGTGTGGGTGTGGGTGGTCCGGCCGTGGAACTGTACTGGAACTGTGGAATGGAGGAGGAGAGATGCAGTTGGAAGGGACACACATGTTTATTTCACTTGCATAACCTACATTTATTTTGTTGAACACCTACTAAGTGCCAAGCATTCTTCTGCATGCTCAGCATGATAAAATTACTGTCCTCATGAAACTCACACTCTAGTAAAGAAGGTGCCACCTAAACCTGTAGACTTGTGACCAAGCTGTGACAGCATGGAGTGGTCCAGATTGGGATGAGTGTCACAGGGTGACAGAGGCACCCCAAGAGAGCCCCTGACTCGCCTCAGCAGCGGTCTCAGACAACTTCTGAGAGGCCAAGCTGAGTGGGGAATAAAAAACGATAGTTAAGCAAAAGGATCATCAGTGAGGTTGGGGGAAATGTTTCCAACAAAAGAACCAGCGTATGCAAAGGCACTGGGGCAAAGCCAGGATTGGCATGTGTAGAGGACACAAAGGTAGGGAGTTGTGTCTGTCTTGTTCATTGCATTACTGCCAGTGCTTGGAACAGTGCCTCGCACACAGGAAGTGTTCAGCAAATATGGAACACATGAAGAAGCAGACCAGATGCTAAGTACTGCACTTTTTGCCTGCTTCAGTTTAGACTTTCAGGAATAGGATGGGTCTCAAGGCTCGTCAAGCCAACTTGCTTCTGCTTAGCTCTCACTTTCTTTCCACCCAAGCAAGGTGCCTTCTTTATTTCATCCATGGATGAATTTCTGGCCTCTAGAATTCTTCCTTGCCTGGATAGTTCCTTCAAAGTATTTGTTGAGTGAAAACAAGGACTGTAGTTAGGGTTTCCATTCTACTGGGGGAAACATATATGGGGGAAAAATTGATCAGGATAATTGCTGAGGTGAGTAGATCTGGTAAGAAGATTGGAGGGTAAGTGTAGTGGGCAGTGGAGGATTTGAAAGAGGCTTTTAGGATGCTTAGGACAGTCTGAGATGTAGTCTAAGGATTCATCTGTAAATCTATTCACAAGTCTTCCATTTTTAAAATGTCTATCTTTATGCATCTGTTTATCCACCCACCCATATGTTCACCTGCTCAAACATCCACCATCCATCCATCTCCCCATCTACTGACTCATCCATCCATCTATCCACACATCCATCCACCCATCCACCTGTCCATCCATCTATCCACCTGTCCATCCATCCACTCACCCATTCATTCATTCATCCATCCATCTCTCCATCCATCTGTCCACCTATCCATCCATCCATCCATCTATCCTTCCACCCATCCACACATCCATCTGTTCATCCATCCATCCACACATCCATCCATGCATCCATCTATCCATCCATCTACCTATCCACCCACCCATTCATCCACCCATCCATCTGTCCATCCATCCACTCACCCATCCATCCATCCATCCATCCACCCATCCATCCATCCATCTACCCATGTATTCATCCATCCACCCACTCATTCATCCATCTATCCACCCATTCATTTATCCATTCATCCACTCACCCATCCAGCTCCTCAACCATGCATACATTCCACCCGTCTACCCATCTATCTCTACCTACATATGCATGCATTCATTTGTACACCTCTACCTCTGCTTTCATCCACCCACCCACCGTGCATCCACTGACCCCTGCATTCATTAGTCCACCTGTCTACTCATCCAACAAATAAGTATTACTATATGCTGTGTATCAGAAACTGCTCTAAGTTCTTGGTATTTAGTGGTGAGTAAGGCAGACAAAAATCTCCACCCTTGTAGAGCTCACTTTGTAGTGTGTTGGAGGGGCTAAAAATAAAACCTGTAAAGGAGTAGAGTATGTGACCGATCAGAAGGGGAGAGGACATAGGGAGTGGGTGGGTAGGGCTTGCATTTCAACAGGGGATGAGGGAAGCTTTGCTGATAAGGTGATGTACAAGCAGACACTTTTAGGAAGTGGTGGTGGGTTATCCCTTGTATGTGTTTGGATGTTATATTTTCTGGGGTAGAAGAAATAGCACATGCAAAGGCCCTGAGGCAGGCAGACACCTCTGGTATACTGAGGAGGAGGAGAACATGCCGAGCCTGCCCTGATAGAATTCTCTTCTCTTTTCAGATTGGCTGGTTCCCTTCAAACTACGTGGAAGAAGATTATTCTGAATACTGTTGAACCCTGGTGCACTAGCAGAGAGATGATAAAACTGCAGGCTCTGAGCCTAAGATGAGCAGGCAGAGACTCTGACAGGTCCCGGCAGGCAAAGTCTGGACAGACTGGAGGGCCGGCATCCAGCTGGCAGGGCTCCCGGACAATTCCCTGCCATGGTTAATTTATAACACACCAATTGCCTCTTGAGTCCTCCCAAAAAGGCCGGGCTCAAGGCGACTGCTTTTAATAAAATGATGAATGCGGGACTGGTGCGTTCAGGGCCCAGGCAGGGCATCTGGCTCCCTCTCCTTTCGTGCTGGGCGGGACAGCCCTCCATCCTGGTTTGCCTGGGGTGGTCCAGGGGATGCTTTTCCTTCTCCCCAGTGTCCTGGTTTGGATGGTAGATTATACAGTTACAGGGTCAGGTTGTCCCCCTCGGAGGCCGACCCTACGATAAGGATTGGGGCGCAAGGTTTTATCTGGGAGATGAGCCCAGGAGGCAGCCGGAAAGGAGCCAAGTCGGGCGTCCACGGACAGCTGGGCCGTTCCGTTGGAGTCGGGGCGGGGTCTGCCTGGCGCTGGGGGATGAGGGAGCGGAGGTACTGAGCCGGGAACTCCATCAGCAGTGCTGGAAGCCGCTGAGCACAGGACCCTTTACGCGGAGATGGCTGGGTTGCAAGTGCGCGCGCGGGGGGCCGCTTCCAGAACACAGGGATTTGCAGCCTCGTGTTGACCGTTGGGGTGGGCCCAAGTCCGGCAAGTGTCCGTTGGCCCAGGGCCCGGTCAAGTCTCAGAGCACTAGGTGGTCTTGCTCAGTTTGTCCTAGAAGCTGCTGAATTTTCTTTCTTTTTTTTTAACCTCTTTCCCGTTTTTTATTATTATGCGTTTGTGATGCATAATAGGTAACCCATCGCGGGGAGTCGGTGCGCCTACGTGTCTCATCTTCGTTGCTTTGCTTCCTCTTCCCCTCCTCTCCTTCCCGTTTCCCTCCCACTGCAGATCCCCTTCCGCCTCCACGAAGTCAGCCTCTGTCTTGCATCATCTATGTTTAATTTGGTCTTTATTTACACATTGGGTTTCTCACATAAGAAAAAACACATGAGATTTAGCCCTCTGTGTCTGATTTATTTCACTTAGCATTATGGTCTCAAGATGCATCCATTTTCCTGCAAGTGACTCGAATGTATCCTTCTTCATGGTTAAGTAGTATTCCTGTGTGTATATCTCTATCATCTCTATATCTCTATTGCCACCCCCATTCCCATCCCCATCCCTGTCCCTATCCCTACCCCTATCTCTAGCTCTATCTATATCTCTATCTTTTTTATCACATTTCTTCACCCACTCATCCGTTGATGAACATATAGTCTGCTTCCAAGGTTTAGCTATTGGGAACTGTGCTACTAAAATATATGGTATGAATATATCACTACGGTACGATGACTTTAATCCTTTCGGGAAGACAACCAGAAGCGATATAGCTGGATCAAGTGGAATTTCTTTGTAGTTTTATTGAGAAATCCCGTACTGATCTCCAGAGTGGTTGTGCTAGTTTACATTCCCTCCAACGACGAAGAAGCGCTCCTTTTCCCCCACAGAGATTGTTGGATTTTTATGTAGTTGGCGCCATCATCCTGTAAAAAACATCCCAGCCTTGTGAGGCTGGAGCTTTTGGTAGGACAGAAGGACCTCGGGCACTTGGGCGGCTGCAGCTGCTAAAGGAGCACAACAGTGAGAGCAGGAAAAAAATAGGGAAGAAACAAAGAAAAAAAAAAGACATACAGCTGCAGGAGGCAGTCGGCTGCGCAGGCGCAGAGCTGAGTGGGAGCTGACTCACACGTTACGGTAGCAAAGAGAGATCCAGAGCAGAGGTGCCAAGCCTTTGCGTCTTGTTACGCCACCCATCAGACGTCTGCAGGCCCAAGAGAGGCGTCTTTACAGCAAAAGCAGCCTTCCAGGCCTCGGGAGGTAACCCAGGCAACTGTTGCCATGACCCCCGCGTCAGAAGTGTTATCTACGCAAAGCTGAGGGAAGCCAAGGATGTACCCCGTCCAGCTGCAGGACCTCTAAGTTAGTGATCTTCTAACCCAACTAAGACAAAGCAAAGTTGGAGGGCTCGTTTAGGGTCCTCTTGGTAGCACCTCCCTCATTTTGTGCACTATTTTGCATTTGTGATTTGATCAGGGTCTCAGCGGGTCTGCTGAAGAAGCGCAAGGGCAAAGAATCAATGGATAACAGTTTCCGGCATCGAGGGGGTCATTTTGTTGTCTTCGCCTTTTCTCCCAGCATGGTGGTCCCTGACTGTCCTGGGTAGAGCCTGCTCTGGTGGCAAGAGAGCTGCAGGAACTTTGCAAGTCGTCGGTCTGTGCGGATAGCGTGAGGGCTGGGGAAGCGGGGGGTGGGGGTGGGGAGCTGGTATGATCTGCGTCACTCTCCCTTAGCCCAGGATTCCGCCTGTGCAGCTTCTCCAACCTTCTGTACGACTCAGCGGATGCCAGCAGATGTAAGTGTGGGAGCACGCTGCCCAGCTTGCTATTTCCTGGGCCCTTAGGGAGGGCACCAGAGAAGCCTTTCTTACATCACCCTGAAGATCTGTGGGTTGTGGGTGGGATAATACGGTAAAGGGATCTGTCAGTGGACCACCTCGGTGTGGAAGTCTTCTCTCCGGCCTAACTATTCTCAAAGAACCCTGCTGAGCTTTGCTGGGAGAAAAGCTGACTCAGACTGAGGGATGCTCTTCCACATATATTATTTATGGCCAGACTTCTTTTTTATTTAATAGACTTTATTTTTAAAATTGTGGTAAAATGCACAGAACATGCAGTTTACCGTCGTCACCGTTTCAGCTGTACCTTTCAGCAGAGCTACGTAGATCCGCAGTGTCATGTGACCGTCACCACCGACCAATCCAGAACGTTTCCTCTCCTGAAACTGAAGCTCCGCCCCATTCCACGACGTCCTGATCTCGATCTCTCTCTTTCCTCGGCCCTGGACAAGCGCTGTTTCTTGGCCAGATTTTTATCTAGATTCCTTCAGAGCCTAAATTTTTTATGTTGATTAAATCAAGATTCAGAATCTCTAAATAGACTTTTGATATTCAAAAGCCAGGAAGTTGCTTTTTTTGGTAAATCTCTCTCAGGCTGCTAGAATAACTCTTACCAAGCGAAAAAACAAAGGGAGTTGATGTGACAGACCAAGACTGGAGAAGGGCCATGGACTCTAAGTTGATTTGGAGAACAATAAGTACTTCTAAAATATTTATTTGCAAGTCAATACTTCCAAATATGACCCTGTCCCACTACTAAGGGAGGCAGACTACCATGCCGAGCAGTTAGCCTTTCCTGGTGCTGTCACAGCAAGCATTATGTACGCGTGAACTCTTCCACCTCACAGTCAGCTTTGTGTGCAGTAAACCATAATAGTCAAGACTCCGGAAAGATTCTACGGTCATCTCTACCCCTGTAAAATTAGCTGTAGCATTTTGAGAATGACTGCGTGTGTCTGAACCACAGAAAGATGGATTCACCTGCTCCGGAACCAGCTTTGCACTGTTGACACAAAGCACTTGGCTTCCACAATGTGAGGGAGGAGAAGTTTGTTTCAGCTCATGGTTTGGGAGGGTTCAGTCCATGGCTGGCTGGCTCCGTGGCAGAGACGTCATGGTGGAAGGGAGCAAAGCTGCTTAGCTCAAAGCAGCTGGGTTAGGGTCAGAGGTGGTGGAAGAGTCTGAGAGGAAGGGGCGAGGGATCAGATACAGACCCCAAAGTTGTCCCCATGACCTGCTTCCTAATAGCCCATGTGGCTGAGAACTCACCCATGGGACAACTTATTGATGAGGTCAGAACTCCCACGACCTGCTTACCTCTCCAGGAGCCTCCTAATCAAGTCAAGCTGACGGTCAAGATTAACCAGAAAAGTGCCAAGGTACAAAGCCACCCTCCTCACCAGTGGGTGAAGAGGACCTTCCATGGCGTAGCTCTCCCTCCAACTCCAGGTAGGCCGACATACACATAATACCTGTGCACAGCTCCCCAGGTGTAGGCTATGGTACAGCAGCCTGATGTGAAGCAGAGCTGGGAGGCAGATTTAGGGGGCAGTGGAATCTCCAGTCACCATAGACTATAGCAGGGGCTGAGAGGTTCTGCCCTTCCTGACAACACTTCCATGTAGGGGAGGGAGTGGGTCACCTGGCATTGGTGTGGTTGGGGTCCTGGGGTGATTCTTGGAGTTACTGAGCAGCACTGTTCTTCAGCCCAGGCTGAGCTTTGACCCCAGACATGCACTGGCCTCTCACTCTGGTCCTTTAAGACTTGGCTCACAAGGTTGTATTGGTCACCTTAGGCTAAGTTTTGCTGCAGTAACGAGCGAGCCCATATCTCAGAATCTTACAAACACCTCCTCCGTGTATTGGCTTTAACTCTTCAGTAAAGAAGAAATTTCTAGAGGGGAGAGGATGCCCTGGAGAAGCCAGGCTCAGAATATGTCAGGCTCACGACAGAAAGAGAGTGATGGACGGCCGCCCAGGGCACACTTCACGTCCTCTAATGTCTCATTCACAAAAGCAAATCAAATGACGTAAATTAGTAGGGCGTGGATGTGTAATCTTCCAGGGGGCAAGGTGGGAAGTATCTCAAGCCCACGGGACAGCCACTTACCTAGTTTCTTCCTTGATATTCACTTGCACTTGTGATAAGCACTCATCAGTGCCAGTTGTTATGGCCGAGTTGTGTCCCTCTCAAAATGTACATAGTGAAGTCCTGACCGAGCCTCAGAAGATGACTGCATTTGGGGAAAAAGTCTTTAAAGCGGGCATCAGTGTAAGTGAGGTCATTAGGACGGCCTCTAACCCAGTCTGACCGGTGTCCTCAAGCGAAGAGGAGATTAACACACGAACACACAAAGTGATGACAATGACGTGCTCAGACACAGGCAGAAGGCAGCCATCTGCAAGCCACAGGGGGAGGCTTCCAGAGGCGCCAGCCTTGGGGACACCTTGATCTTGCACTCCAGCCCCCCAGAGCTGGGTAACGCATTTCTGTTGCACCAGCTACTGAGTCTGTGATCTCTGTTACAGCAGCTTAAGCAGACTCATACCCTGGCTTGTTGCTACTGAACCAGGCAAAGCGACACTCGGATTGCATAGCGCGTACGGTGGAACAGCCTGGAACAAGCAATCGGGCCGCGATGACACGGCGTGGTGCCTTCCATGGCGAGGGAAATACGTGTATGCTGGTGTTGGGTGGGGGAGGGAGGAGGAAACATCTAAGGTGGCACCTACAGGAGGGGCTGCAGGGGTTTGCCTAGGAAAGATGGGGGTAGGGAGCTTTTACAGGGCTGGGTGTGAGTGGGGGAGGTGCTGGTAGGATCCGGAACTTCGAGGGGACCATTTGGCTTGGAGTGGGGGGAAAGAGGGCGGCTGTCAGGAGTTAGGCAGTCCCTGGTGAGACCCCAGCAGGACCTCTGCTCTCCTCTGTCCCCTGGAGGGCTCGGCAGGAGGGGATAACTGGCTTCCTCGGGATGTTTTACTGGGGGTGCTGCTTCTCTGTGGAGTGGTGGAGGGGATGGATGAAGGACCCTTGGTCACCCCTCAGGGCCCTAGATGTGCCCTGGAGGGACCTGCTGTTGGTTGGGGAGTTGAATTTGAGGGAATAGCTCATCCCTGAATATGCTCGAACTGAAGGATTCAAAGACCAGGGAGCAGTCTCACCATGCCCCAGCTTGGAAGTCCTCAGTGTCACTGTCAGTTCTGGCTGCTCGGGGAGCGTGTGTGTGTGTGTGTGTGTGTGTGTGTGTGTGTGTGTGTGCGCGCACACACACACACACGAGTGATTAGTTTTCCAGGGCTGCTATGACAAAGTTCCACCAACGGAGTGGCTGAAACATCAGATATTCATTGTCTCATAGTCCAGGGGGCCACAAGTCTAAGGTCAGAGTGGTGGCCACCCGGGCTCCCGCTGGAAACGCTGTCGTGGGGAGCCGTTCTTCCGGCTGCGCGGTGGCCAAGATCCTCGGTGTCCTCGGCTGGTGGAAGCGCTGCTCCCGTCTCTGCGTCTGCCTCTACATGGCTTTCTCTGCGTATCCAGATCTCCTTGTCCTTTCTCCTGTAAGGACACCTGTCATTGGTTTTGGACCCGCTTGAAATCCAGAATGCTTTCGTCTCACGATCCCTAACTAACCACACCGGAAGGGGCCCTATTTCCTTTCAAAACAGTTTTGCTGTGATACACAGCGATTACAAAGCAGAGAAGAGGCTCCTCCCGGAGGGGCCACATGGGGGTCTTCGCATGTAGTTTAGAAGGTGGAGAAATACAGAGTAAGTGGAACGGGCTCTTTGCTGTGGTCATTGCTTCTCTCATTCTAGGGGTCTCAGTTGGAATTAATTTGTTTCAGAAGGGAAATGCTTTTATCCAAAGGAATTAATTTTTTTTTTTTTTTGGTCTTTTTGAGACAGGGTCTCACTACGCAGCTCAGGCTGGCCTTGAATTCACTTTGTAGCCCAGGCGGGCCTCGAACTCACAGTGATCCTCCTGCCTCAGCCTCCTGAGTGCTGGGATTCCAGGCGTGCGCCACCACGCCCAGCAGGAATGACTTTCGAATGGTGAAATTCCTGGCGATAAAATCACGCTCGGCACTGGTTTTTATTCGGAGCCGAATCGTATCGCACAAGGACTATTCATTCGAGCGGAGCGCGTCCTCAGGGATCCAGTAGGGGCTTTCCTCGGGCTCTGCGGCTCGGCCAGCTGTTTTCCGCGGCAGACCCCGCAGCACCCGTTTGAAGCTGTATGCTGCCCTCTAGTGGCTTTCAGGGATACATCGTCAGCTTTGGCTCCAGGCTGCAGGCGAGGAGGAGCCCGGGCTGGTTTCACCAGGGGATGCTGGCACAGGCCTCGCCGGTTTTCGTGCAGCCCATGCTTTCATCACGGCTGACTGCAAATCAGCGTCAGGCTCTGCACTGCCCATCCACCCGGAAAAGTACAGCCAGCACCGAAGAGCCCAGGCACCAACCAGGCTGAGCCCTTACAGTGTCCCGCAAGGCCTTTTGTAACTGTCACCTCCCTTCTTACCCCGCTCACCCTGACCCCGAGAGGCAGGAACGGGCGGAGGAAGGAGCTCAGCAGGATGCGGCTTCGGCCGGAGTTCGCTTAGCGATCCGCACCGTGGAGGAAAATAACCCGGGTACAGGTTAGGCAGTGCTGGCTTTATGTTCTATTTCTTTAACTGACAAATAAAGTATAAACAAACAAGCCTCCACAGCCACAGGTGCTGTACGGGTGGAGTCAACCTACCGCGCATCAAACATATATTAAAAACGCAGCTGTCATGAATACACACACATTGTTTTCTAATCGTCACCCCCCAAGCAACAGTGTCGCCCCTCCCTCCGCGGAAGCGATGCTGTGTGAGGTGTTACGAGCCACGGAGGGACTGTCTACAGCCTGCAGGACGGTGTGCGCGGGTTCTGTGCAAATAGAGCCGAGCGTGGTAGCGCACGCCTGGAACCCCAGCACTCGGGAGGCTGAGGCAGGAGGATCCTTGCAAGTTCGAGGCCAGCCTGGGCTACAAAGTAAGTTCAAAGCCAGCCTGAACTGCATAGCGAGACCCTGTCTCAAAGAAAGAAAAGACAAAAAAAAAAAAAACACTGAACCCCTTTATGTGTTATGTTTTAGGCCTAAAATGTTCCCTCGAAGTTTCGTGTGTGTGGAGGGTGATGCACCCTGAGGGTGCCACACTCGCCGGTGGATTCATCAGTGCGCTGGTAGGAGGCGGGGCCCGGTTGGAGGGGGTCCCCGGGGGCGTGGCCTGGAAGGCTGGGTCCTTGTCCCGGGCCCCTCCAGTCTCTGGGCTTCCTGGCTGCCGGGGGCTGTGTCTCGGTCACAGTACCCCACGACCACGACTTAAGGGAGAAGTTTATTTCGGTTCATGCTTACAGGCGGTGGCCGGCTGACTGCCAGGCGGAAGGAGCACGGCAGGGGGCGCGGTGGGGGAAATTTGCCCAGGTTCGGTGGTCAGACAGCAGAGAAAAGCTCAGGAGGGAGGTCCCGCCACGTCACACCCCCAGGGACCCCTTCGGATCAGGCCTCACCTCCTAACGCCAAGTCAGCTGTAGTGTCCCCACAATCCAGTGACCCCTCCCCCAGCCCCGTCTCTGAGGGCACCAGGCTCTGGGGGGACATTTCAGATCCAAAACAACAGCAGGTCTGGACCCACCGTGCCCCTTCTGCCATCTGTTTCTGCCTCGGAGCCAGCCAGCCATCGGCAGAAGCTAGAGGGAGCCTCTCCTCCGCCGAGCCGTGGGTCCCGGGTACTGCGCCTTAGTGACGGGAAACGAACTCGGACAGTCAGCGGCTCAGGCACCCGCGGATCTCGGTACCTCCTGGGAGTCCTGGAAATGCCCACCTGCCACGGGTGTGGGTGCTGCTTTGAACACTGGCGTACAGATTCCTGGCTGCTTGGGGTGAGCACCCAAAAGGGAAATGGCTGGGTTTCGTGGTAATTCTATTTTTAATTTTTGGGGAACCCCTCGTTTCCACCTCTTGCATTCCCACCAGCAGCTGTACCATTTTGCGTTCCCGCCAGCAGCTCCCAAGGGTCCCAATTTCTCCACATCTGCTGCAAGCGCTTCGTTCCTTTCTCCATTATACCCATCCTAAGGGGAGGGTGTGGGTCTCTCCGCGGGTTTGATGCGCATTTCCCCGACCATCAGTGGCCTCGGGTGTCCGTCCTCTCTTGTGTGGGAGGCTTCTGAGCGAGGATGGTGATTCAGTCTGGACAGTGAAAGCGCTGGACCTGGCCTAGCACGAGGTGTCTGGTCTGCAGTTCACAGGGCTGCCCTTCTGCTGTCCTTTCTCTTTCTCCCACGAGGATTTTAAAAATGTAGACGGCGTTGATTTTTGCAGATTCTCTCTCATCCTTCAGCGTGTTATTGGAAGCTTTAGTTAATCCTGGGTCTCCGCCCCTTCGAGTTCCTTGTCTGTGATAAAGCTGAAAAGCAATAAACGTGACTTAAAAACTTCTTTCTTCATTGTCTGTAACCATGACGACGAAGTTTCCAAATAAAGGGGCCGTCTCTAATTCCTTGTATGCAGGGCTCCCCTCTCTTGACTGACTCCTGTTGGCCCAGATTGTCATAGCCCGTGGTGTTTCTGAACACCCCTCTTGGGTTGAGGTCACTTCTCTGTCCCATTCCCTGATTTCTGTCCATCCCGTGATTGGTTTTCTCGTTCCTTCGTGGTCATTTTCTTTTCTTGGTTTTTTTGAGACAGGGTCTCACTATGTAGCCCAGGCTGGTCTCCAACTCATAGAGATCCTCCTACCTCAGCCTCCTCAATGCTGGGATTACAGACGTGCACCACCACACCTGGCTTGGTCAGTGATTTTCAATCTGTTTTAGCTCCTCTCTTCCTTCCTTTCTCCTCCTCTTTCTTCTTTCCTTTCTTTCTTCCTTCCTTTCTCCTCCTCTTTCTTCTTTCCTTTCTTTCTTCCTTCCTTTTTCCCTCTCTCTTTCTCTCTTTCTCTCTTTTTCTCTTTCTTCCTTCCTTTCTTCTTTCTTTCTTTCTTTCTCACTATTGTGGATTGAATCCAGGGCCTTCCCTGTCCTTTTTATTCTGGGACAAAGGTGTTGCTAAATTGCCTAGGGTTGGGATTGAACTTTCAATCTTCCTGCCTCGAGCTCCAGGGCTTCTTTTTTTTCAAATGCTCTGTTTTAGGCCTTTTCCTGCAATCACCCCGTGTATTTTAATTAAGGCAGACAGCGCTAGCTGCTACAACAAGCAAGCTCCCATCTGTCCATGGCTTAACATAGTTGAAGCTTAGCTCTCACTCACCCCGTGGTCCAGTATGAGTGTTCCTGCTTTAGTGACTTCCGGGTAGCTCTCTTCTAGAAATCGTCCAAGGACCTAACTTTCTCCCATCTTACCGCTCATTCCCTACAGCTCCCCAGACTGTCTGCAGAAACCTGCATCTGCATACAGGAAACGGAGGTCTGGAAGAGGAGGCAGGTATAGAGAGCGACTGGGTGGGGAAGTAGCATACAGAACTCCCTCCTTGCATTCCCACTGGCTGGATCTCAGTCATATGACCACACCTAACTGCAAAGAATGCTGGGAAATGTACTGTAGTTCTGTGCGTGCGAATAAGAGGAAATTCCTTTGCTGAATAGCTACAGACTCTCTGATCCATTCACTGACGGCATAACCACAGTTTCTCTCTCTGCCTGCGTGCTCTTCAAACTCCTCATCTCCAGCTCATTCCCCAGTCTGGCCTTCAAGCTGGCTGCCTTTTCCTCCCACCTCCTCTTTTGAAGAGGTGGAGTCTCAGACCCCTTGCTATGGACTCACTGAGGGGATGCAGGCTGTATGGGCGCCTTTCTGCTGCTGGGGCGAACACCACTTAAATGAGAAGGGGCTGATTCTGGCTCGCAGTTCCAGAGTTTGAACGCATGACTGGCTGGCACCCAGGTAGAAGGGCACGGTGGAGGAAAAAGCAGAACCGGAGCAAGAGAGCCAGAAAGATACAAAGGGGCCAAGGACAAGAACGTACTCCTCCAGGTCGCAGCCTCAGTACCCTGCTTCCTCTAGTCGGGCCCCACCTCCTAACACCACATTCAGCTGTGAACTCATTTACGGATTAATCCACTTAGGAGATTCATGCCCCACGATCCAGCGTAATAGGGGTCACTTCCGAGGCTCAGCTTTAGGACGGTAGGAAATATTTTCCTTCCTCCATTCTCAGCACCAGGTCCCCACAGAAGATGGCTTACTCTCCAAGGCTACCATGTTGGGAGGAAGCCCATGCCGCATGAGGAGCGCTGTGTGGGCATTCCAACATTACAGGCTGGGCGGCTGAGATAACAGACATTCATTATCTCGTGGTTCCAGAGGCCGGAAGTCTGGGATCAAGGTGGCCGTAGGACATGCAGTGCCAGGTAGAGGAAAACCGGCCATCAGCAGCGTGATGGTACGGCAGGCTGGGGACGGTGTGTTCACGGTGCCGTGATTATTTCTCAGCCTTTGGATGAGCCTGATCCTGGGGCTGTGAACTTCACAACCGTTCTCAGTTTTTTTCCTTCCTTTCCAATGGCAGGCTGTGGCTAGGGCGGGCTGGAGTTGGGTATTTCCCTTCTCTTGTGCGGGGGGCTAGCGCTAAGTGGAGTTGAATATGTCTCCTCCCGCAGGTCATTTATGCTCCAGTAAAACCTCAGCAGGTTAGGCTCTGGTTAACTAGTCTTGGTTGACTAGTTTCTCCTGAGGACAAGCCCTGTTAAGAGCAGAAAGCAGAAGGCAGATACCTCATGTTCTTGCCCATGAAGGAGCTAAAAGGTTTGATGTCGTGGAGGCACGGAGCAGACCTGCGATCCCTGAAAGCCGGGAAGGAGAGAAGGGGAGGGGGAGAGAGGGAGTTGACAACCGGGGTCAAAACAGAGTTAGGGAGGAGGAATAATTCTAGTGTTTGCACACAGTGGGATGACTATAGCTTGCAGAAAGTTAATACGTTTTGTGTAAAGAACTAGGAGAGAGGAACTTGAAATGATAAATGTTTAAAGAGATGAAAACGCTACTTTTGTGGATGTGATCCACACATACACACACAGTCATCACCTGCACCCCATACATGTGTGCAATTATTATGTGCCATTTGTGTGTGTGTGTGTGTGTGTGTGTGTGTGTGTGTGTGTATATATATTAGAACAGAATGCCCTGGCACATTTCCAAATTGTTCCTTTCCTCTCTTTCTTCCGTAAGCACAGTCATTTTCCTCTGATAGTTATTGTGCGACTCTCGTTGAGCTCCCAGAGGTAAAAATCACAGAGCACGGGCTCCTTCTCCAGAAACTCTTCTTGTGGAGTCTCCAGTGAGTCATTGGTAAGCCCGGGGTTCTCTTCCTTAGCTCTGCTCCCAAGCTAGGGCAGTTTGCATGCAGTAAGCCAAGGGCTTCTGTGTCCACCTGTCCATCTGTCCCTCCAGCCTGGGTTGTGTTCTACCTCTTTGAAAGCTTTAAGGAAATTTGTTCATTTTTTTCAGTCTGTTCTGCTCTTTTACTTGTTAAAATGGAGTGGCATTTAATTTCTCTCTCTCTCTCTCTCTCTCTCTCTCTCTCTCTCTCTCTCTCCTTTTTAGATGCTGGGATGGAACCCAGAGCCTCATGCATGCTAGGCAAATCCTCTACCATTAAGTGCCACCAGGTCCTAGATAGATATTTTTGAGTACATAGGGACACTGAGGGTCAGAGAAGATAAATCACATGTTAAGGGCACACTGGTGATGGTCAGAAGTGGAATGTGAGTGTCATGAACTGAATTGTGTCCCTTTCCCCATCCATACATTGCATCCCTGACCCCTGGGACCTCAGAATATGACCGTCTTTAGAGACAGGGCCTTTAAAGAGGTTATTAAGTTGATACGAGGTCATAAGAGTGGCCCCTTATCCAATAGGACTGGGGCCCTTGTAAGAGATTAGGATACAGGTACTCACAGGAGGGTGACCACAGAAAGACACAGGGCAAGGTGCCATCAGGAAGCCAAGGAGACAGGCCTCAGGAGAAGTCAGTGCTGGCCCCGCCTTGTTCTGGGACTTGGTTCTCCAGAACTGTAGGACAGCACATCCCTGTTCTATGCATTTACCAGGCTGTGGTGTTTGTTACAGCAGCCATCACAGACCAATACGGTGACACTAGTTCCACCCACCTGAAAAAGTAGTCCTCCCAGCTCACAGAATATATTGCCTTTTTTGGGCTGGGTTTTATTCAGCTTCCCCACTCCTGGGACAAAATACCTGTCACCCACAACTTAAAGGAGAGGTTTAATTTGGCTGAGGGCTCTGGGCCGTTCCGTCCGTGCATGGACAGCTGGCTCTAAGGCAGAAATGGCCTGAGGGAGAAAAACTGCTCGGCTAATGGCAGCCAGGAAGCAGGGAGAGAAGGGAGGAGACCAGAAGGAGAATCCAGCCTTCCAGGTCACATTGCTGGACCCATCTCCAGCCAGGTGCTGCAACCTAACCGCACTGTCATCTCTGAGCCCATCCACGAATCCATCCACCGATGAGATCACTGCCTGCACGATTTAACCACCTTTGAAAAGCCCCACCCCTGGGCATGAGACTTTTGGGGCACATTTTATATCTCAATCCAAACAGGCTCCTTTTGAAGTATTTCTCCCCAGGAAAACTCATCAGAGGCTTTGATTTAGAGGGCCATTTTCTTTCTGCTATAGATTTTTTTTGAGACCAGCTTCCCACAAATTCAGGTTCCTGTCTGCCCAGGCTCAGGGGCCCCCTCTTTGGGGAGCAAAGATGATGATTTATTATCTTTTCTTTATTCTTCTGCATTTCCACATCCTCTTCTGAACCTACTTTTGGTAGTGTCTGAAGGCGGCGGGGGGTAACAGTTCCTCTAGCTGCTGCTTCTGCCTCTTCTGAGATGGGACGATAAGAAACACCATTCCGGGAACCAGCCTGGAGCTCCGCCTGCAAGCTTTGCAGAAAAATGCAGCAATGCCTGCAGCCCCGCGGTGCCCACTTCACAAGGAGAGAAATACATGGCCTCACAGCCACACAAGTGCATTCCCCGGAGAGTCCAGAGAACACGGCCAGGTTCCAGGCGGCAGTGGGGAAGGATTCCCAACACGCATTTCTTATCAGCTGGGAAGCAATTAGGCAACAAAAATGGCACCAGTTTTTCTTCTTGCTTTATTTTAGTTTTTAAGGAAGTAGACACTTTAGATTGTTGCGTAGCTTGCTAAGGTCAGGTTGTTCTGCAATGACATCAACTCTATGTGAAGGCAAATTCAAATGACACATTTCATGGAAGAAAGTCAGCACGCATGTCTTTAGGTCCCTTTATATAGTATGCACCGTGAGGTAATTGGGCATCTATTGAATTATTGAGCTGTACTTATGAATATATACGCATATTACGTGTCTGTTAAAAATGAAGCCAGCTGTGGCAGCACACACTTACAATCCCAGCTACTCTGAAGGCTGAAGGAAGAGGTCTGTAAGTTCAAGGCCGGCTTGGACAACTTAGCAGGACCCAGTCTCAAAATAAAATAAAATAAAATAAAATAAAATGGGTTGGGGTATGGTTCTGTGGCAGGGAGAGCACTTGCCTGGCATTTGCAAGACCTTAGGTTCAATTCTCAGTCCCTTCAACAGTTAAAAGCATTAGCTGGTCACTTTTTTTTTTTTTTCCGGTACCGGGAATTGAACTCACGACCTCATGCTTGCCAGGCAGGTGCTGTGCCACTGAGCTAAATCCCCAGCCTCTGGTCACTTTTTTATACAACATACATAATAAGATAATTTGGTATAGTAATGGATAACCTTGAATTTAGGATTTATCTTGCCAACTTTGTCCTGGAGTACTTGGCGTACCTGCCACAAGCTACCTCTGGCTGTAGTGTGCAGTTTCATGGGTTATGGCAACCACTGCCACGGTAAAACTTCCGAACATCTCCATCAGCTCCCTGCACCTTTTTGAGCCCTCTTGCAACCCATCCCTCTCTGCACCCCGGCCCTACGCCTTCGCCAGTTTGTTCCCTGTACCCAGCTATCTACGATGTATCTTTTCTAGGATTTCATATACATCTGCTTTAGGTGGTTAATTTTGTATGGAAAGTTGGCTAGACCATGGCAAAGTGTTCGTTTATTTATTTATTTTTATTGAAATCTTGCTAGGTTGCCCAGGCTGGCTTTGAACTCCTGGACTCAACTGATCTGCCCGTCTCGGTTATGTCAAGTTCAGCTGAGACCACTTGGTGAAGGTGTGTTTGGGATACGATAAGACGCAGACTCACGTCACTTGTCCAGAGCCTCCCCGACACTGGTGAGCCTCGTGCAATTAGTTGAAGGCCTGGAGAACAAAGACTGAGGCTTCTGAAGGAGAGGCAATTCTGCCTCCAGATTGTAAAACAGAAGTGCAGAGCCTTGTTCCGAGTGTCAGCCTTTGGGCCCGAGAGTGCAGCCCAAACTTTAGCTGAGTTTCAGCCTAGTGGCTTGACCTGTGGATTTTGGACTCACAACCCCCAGCAATGCTAATTCTTTAGTGTCTCTGTCTGTCTTTCTGCCTCTCTGTCTGTATGTCTGTGCCTATGTCTCCCTCTCTCTCTCTCTCTCTCTCTCTCTCTCTCTCTCTCTCTCTCTCTCTCCTGTCAATGGGCATTTAAATTGCTTCTATTATTTGCCAGTTGTGAATAAAGCTGCTATACATATTTGTATATGACTCATTTTGTGTATATATGCAAACATCCGGGAGAACGGCTACAGTATGTAAAAACTTCCATTCCGGGAGTCAACTAGTCCTAACCCTGCATCCACTGCATGCCCAACCTTTATCCCATGGCAGCTGATTACTGGGACCAGCCTGGGACCAGAGGTGGCCCTTAGGGTTGTAGCCAGTGTCCATTCTGATTGGTGTCCTCTACTTGGGACATCACCTGCGCTGGAGCGACACAGCTGGCTCTTGGTGGTGTGTGGAAATTTAGATGTGGGGATGGGTTGCACCACATTCCCAGATCTCATATGAGGGACTTGTGGTGACTGCAGTTTATGCAAAACACATGGCTGATGCTGACTATCTGCTTTCCTTCTGGGGGGAAGAGCCCTGGAGCAGTGTCTTTAATGACCTTCCCAGGTTGACAACACTTCATACTAGGTGTCCCAAGTCACTGCTGAAGGAATTAGTTGTGCCCTGTGTGACTCTTCTGGAAGTGGGCCCTTGGATGCCTGACTTCAACCCACGTGCCTTTTTTTATTGATTGTTACTTTACATCCTCCTGCTCCAGCAACTCAGAGCTTGGATTATGACTGCATGATGGGTCTTCCCAGTGAACTATTGAAACTGAGTAGTCCTGGGGGCCCCTGGCAAATCACTCTCGCTGTCAAAAAGCCTCATGAGCTGCGTAGCTGTCTTGGCCAGCTTTCAGTTGCTGGGACAAGATACCTGACACAACTTGAGGAAGAGATTTACTTTGGCCCACGGTTTCAGAGGTTTCCGTCCATGGCTGGCCGGCTCCAAGGCGGAGACTCAGGGGACACTCTGGGGCGTGAATGGTTCTACCCTGGCTGGGGGGCGGGGTTGCTCTCTTGCACCTCTGTGACCAATGGTTTTGAGCTGTGAATTGGAGCTGAGGGTTTGTGCAGCCGCTGGGCTAAGGGTTGCTCCCTGGACAAAGTGGAAGCTGTGAGCGATTATCAGGCAATATCAAAGCAGCTAGGAGACCGGTGAAGTGGCCCAGGAAGACCGACTGGGGCAAGGCATAAATGGTGACCACCACAAGGGGCCTCAAGGCGTCTAGGCTGGTTAGCATTTCACAGACCAGTGAGAATACATCAAAACAGAGAGACCAGAATAAGACTAGATAGGGACTTAAGGGCCATACGAACAAGCCCAGGTGTCGTCCTGAGGTCAGTAGGAAGCCATGGGACGGTTTAGAGTCCAGGAGGGACGTGTTCGCATTAAGCAGGGCTGCCCCAGAGCCTCCTCGGGTAACCCCAAAGTGCCGTGCCCCTCAACCCTTCAGGGTGGCAGCGAGTGACGTTTCTCAGACCCTTCGGGCTTACTTCTTCAATCTGACGTTCTCACGCTTCCCTCTCTGCTGGGAAAGCTGTAAAAGGTTAGGCTTGTGTAAGAGGCTTGGCTGGGATCGTTCATTTCCTCCACCTTGTCCTTCCACTTCCTGCTCCTCACCTCGGCCCGTCAGGAGCTCCACAGTCTGGGCGTGACGGTCCTCGTAACCTCTTTTGGGTTCGAAAGGTGTCTAGAATCTCGTCCTCAGTTACTTATCTGGATCCAAGACCTCCGTGGGGCAGGCAGGTAGGGTAACGCACCTCCCTCACTGTTCATGTCGGAATCCCCCAAATCTGCGGACTTGTTCCCTTCCCTGAAGCAATGCACTTTGCAGATGGGGTTTTGTGAAGGATCTTGAGTTGGGGACATTATTTTAGATTTTCTGGGTGTCCCAATGTCATCCCAAGTGTCCTTGTAAGATGGAGGCGGGAAGGAGGGTGAGAGAGAGAGAGAGAGAGAGAGAGAGAGAGAGAGAGAGAGAGAGAGAGAATGTTTCCCTTCTGGCTCTGAAGATGGAAGAAAAAAGATTCACGAGCCAAGGAATGTAAGTGGCTTCTAGAATCTTCTGATAAAGAATGGACTCTCTCCTGAGCTTGCAGAGGGAGCACAGTGCCGCCGACCCTGGTGGTGGCACTATAGGACTCACTTAGGACTGTGAGTCTGTCTTTTTCAAGGCACCAAGTGCAGGGCGATTTGTTACAGCAGCCGTTGTGGACTCATCCACTGTCTCGTCCCAGCCCAGCCCCAGGAGGAGCCTCCGCTTGATCTGGAAACTTGCCGGTTCTGTAGTTGAACCTCCAAATTGCCAGTCTTTCTTCTGTGTTGGACGTTCCGTCCTTATCCCTGAAGTCTGTGGCTTTCGCCTCCTAAATTCCTCCTTCCTTCCTTTCTGACCATCCATGACCTCATCCTGGCCAGTGCTCACCTTGCATGACGTCCATGTTGTAAGACACCAGCCCAGGCCAGTGACCCCTTGCTGAACCTCTTCCTATTGCCCTGAAGGTAAAAATGAAAACTTTTCACCCATATTATAAAGTCCTGAATCCTATGAACTCCACTGACTTCTCCCACTCGAGTTTTTGCAGGTACCAAGATTTCTTCTATAAGTCACTGTGAACACTTCTTACAATGGAATAATGATAACTATCTCTATAATTCCAGTACTATGGGAGGCTGAGACAGGAGGACTGCAATTCTGAGCTTAGTCTGAGTAACTTGGTGACTTAGCAAGATTCTATTTCAAAATGAAAAATAAAACAGACTGGAGATGTACCTTAGTGTGAAGCCCTGGGTTCAAGCCTCAGTACTGAAAAAAAAAAAAAGCAAGAATAATTAATATGATCAAAGATCTACTCTTGTCAGGCAAGGAGTTTATAGCTGGGTCACAAACCCTCTGAAGTGGACTTATTACTGTCCTGTTTCATTGGTAAGGAAAACTATTTCTAGGTATATCAGCTAACTCTTGTAGAACAGATTACTCCAAAACTTTGCACTCTAAAGCAACAAACTTGTTTCCTTGCAGTTTCTGAGGGTCAGAAATCCGGGGGTGTTTTAGGTAGTTGGTTCTGGCTCAAGGATCTCTCGACACCACAGTCAAGCTGCAGACCATGTGCTTGAAAACTCAACAGGGCTGGAAGGCCACACTCCAAGACTGCGCACTCACGTGGCTGCTGGTGGGAGGTCTCAGGTCCTCCTCACACAGTGCCCTGGTTCGCATGTGGTTGGCGTGTGTCCCCTAACGGTTCACGTGCTGAAGGCTTGTCTCCAGGGTGGTGATGTTGAAGGGGAAGCCTAGTGGAAGGTACTTGCATCATGGGGCACCATCTTGGAAGGGATTAATGCAGGACTCACGGGATTAAGTGGCTTCTTTCGAGAATTTTTTTCAAAGTGAGCTGGGCCCCTCCCCAGCCTCTTCCCTCCTGTCTCACCATGTGATCTCGTCCACTTGCTACCACAGCTGGTCAAATGCTCTTGACTTTCCAGAACTGTGATCCGCACAAACCTTTTTGCATTGTAAGGTGACCAGCATCGGGTATTTTGTTGCACCAATGCAAAGTGAACTAAGACTCGTGGATTCTGTGTAGCACTGCTTGAATGTTCCCAGTACACAGTGACTGGCTTTGCCTTGGTGAACGACAGTGGGGAGGGAGAGAGGGCATTTCAGAGAGCAAGGAGGAAGTCATAATGCCATAAAGTCTAGTCTCTGTGGCTGTACAATGTCACGTCCTCCTCTCTGCATTCATCAGAAGCCAGCCACGGGATTGTCCCACACTCAGTGGGGGATGAGGCTGCACCACGAGAAGAAAGCAATATCAGATAATCTGTGGACATGCGCTACAACCACCACATTGAGCTCCCTCCCTCTAGGGTCCAGACTCCTGCAGATACACTTAGCAAGAACTGTAGGACAGGTCCCTGGCAGTTTGTACAAATCAGCAACATCACCCCACAAGGATCTGTGGGGGAGCAGATGGGAGGGATCGTGGCAGGAGACCAGAGGTGGGCAGGGGGAGATATTTAATACATCTGTGGTTCCTGCAGAGTTGATGCTCACTGGGGAAATCCTCGTCTTTATTCTTTGTGTGTTCTCTTCATGGCTACCTGGGCGTCTGGAGCATTCACCTGTTCTCAGTTTCTGCTGATCAGAAGTTTTTTCAGGAGATGCACTGGGGAGGGCCCTGGGGGGATGTTAGTTCATGGATACAAAATTTCAGCAATAAATCAGACACACAAGCTTAAATATCACATGGTTTCTCTTATAGGAGAAACCCAAAGTATACATAAGGAGCAAAATGGTTGCGGTATGTATCTGTGGCAGCAGAGGGGACAAAAAATGTCTCAGAGATGAGCCCAGAGTGGCACCCGTCAGGAGGGAGTCTCCAGCGAGCAGCTCCAAACACAGAACTCTCTGGCTTTTATTTCAAGTGTGGGCAAGGAACTGTAGTCAGCAGTGTCAGGCCAAGGGGGAGGACAATGGCCGGATGCAGCACGCTTCCCCGCTCTAAGCTCCTTCTGGCTTGCTCGCCCTGCCGTGCTCCGGTCATCATGCGCAGACCTTTGCGCTTTGGCCCCGAGGGTCCTTCCACAGTTTCACCGTTCACTCCTCGGCCAGGCCCCCCACACAAAATGAAAAGTAGGTAACAGGAAGTAGGGAGATAGATCTTTCTCAAGGGGGAAGAGGACCAAGAGACAGAGGAAAGAGGGGTCAGGGAGGAAAGGGGTGGAAAAAGGAATTCAGATGTATTACCTACACACACCAGCTCCACACAGGGAGTATAGGCATTATGTACTGCAGGCATGTACTAACTTAAAAAAAAATAATAAAAAATTAAATTAGTGTCACTAAAACAATTTCAGCTAAACAGGAGGGAGAAGTCCAAGAGATCTACTGTGCAACAGTGCTGACCACAGTTAGTAACTGTGTATGTGCTACGTAAACAGAATCAGGTCTTGTTGTTGGGCCTCAATAGCATTCATCTTCCCAGCATCCCAGAAGAATCTACTCGAAAATTATCAAGACAGTAGCTTTTCAGCATCCTCATCACAGAAATAAAACACTAAGCCTATGAGGTAATTGATATGTTTAGTAGTTAAAAACATTGTGTTGTACACCATGAACATACGCAATATTTCTTGCCAATTAAAAAAATAATAAAAAAAACAGGTCAGGTGTGGGAGCGCATGCCTGTCATCCCAGCCCTCAGGAGGCTGAGACAGGAGGATTGCTGCAAGTCTGAGGCCAGTCTGGACTGCAAAGTGAGTTTAAGGCCAGCCTGAACTGCATAGTGAGACCCTGTCTCAAAAAGACAAAATAAATGAATAAATACTAAAAAGGGGACAGGGAGATTTCATACCCTAGAAAAATAATAAAAAAGGAATTCATAGATTTCATATCCTAATTAAGGAATGACAGATCAAAACAAACCAAGGCTGAGAAACTACCAAAATGGAACAGGTCCTTCTGCATGTTAGGGAACATAGAATCCTGGAGTTGTGGACACACAGGTGGGTCCCCTCCTGGGATAACAGCTTCCTGTGAACGTAATGGACTTTTGTATGTGCTGTACTTGTTCCATTTTCTGCTAAGTCTGGGCTTAAGCACTCTTCGGGTCTCAGCTCAGACATCAGTTCCTTCGGGAAGTCATCCTCTAACTTTGACCTGGTTCACTCTTTCTCTGACTATGGGATAAATTCTCCAGCTCTAACTTTTTGTATTTTTTTTTTTTTTTTTGGTGGTGGTGGTGGGAGAATACCAGGAATTGAACTCAGGACCTCGCACTTGCCAGGCAGGCGCTGTGCCGCTGAGCTATATTCCCGGCCCAGCTTTTTGTATCTTACAGCGAGGGGAGTAAACCTGCTTTTTCCAACCCCCAGTGGGTGCTGGGAGTGTGAACATCATTTATGTTTCGTGACCAGAGCTCACAGTGTTTATCAAGCACATGCTATGCGTTAGTGTGTCCGGCCATGTGTTGGGAGCTTTTCTCCATTCCCTCCCCACGTCTGCGGAGAGGGAAGAGTTTAACCCCACCAGAAACTCAGACTTACAGCCGTGAGTCCCTCCGACAGACGCCTGGGGCACGGCTCGCAGATTTGTGATGGAAGCCCTCATCAGCCTGACTCTAGTTCTTATAACCAGGACAGCCCACGTGCGGATGGGTCATTTCCCCGGCTGCCAGGCGCTGCTCTGGGCATGTCACGGATGCCATCTCCTCCCACGCTCACGGCAGCCCCCGGAGGGAGGTCTGAGTGTTCAACAGAATGTGGAAGGAAGGGCTGAGACGGCGCCCGGATCCAGCGCTGTGCTCATCCTCGAGCGCTCTTACCGCCCGCGCTGCAGCTCGGGGTGTCTTCCTCTTGGTGTAACTATCTGTGTGTTCCTGCTGGCGCTTATCTGCGGCCTCACAAGCCAGGCGCCCTTAATGCAGAAGAGGGAAGTTCTCATCGAGCCCCCCTCCCCATGCCAGGTAGGTATTCTTGCCTTACACAGAGCAAAAGGGGGAATGCAAAAGCAAGTGCGCATCTTCTCCCCAAGAGCTGGGTTCTGCTCTTTGCATCTCTTTTGTAGCTTGTCCTCCACATGGTCAGCGCCTGATCACCTCCGTGAGCTTTGACACACCGGTCCGCTCTAGCCGGGCATCTCACCCTCACTGCATTACCATCATCACCATCACTTTTGCAGTGCCAGGCACTGAACTCGGGGACTCCACACGAGTCCACGCCCCAGCCCTTGTTTTGTTTTTGGAAACAGGGTCTCGCTAAATCGCTAGTTTGCCCAGGCTGGACTCTAACTCGCCGTCCTCCCGCCTCAACCTCCCACGGTGTGGGGATGGCAGGCGTGAGCCACCACGCCCTCCTTGCATTTTATTACTAATGAGATCAACTGAGAGCAGGCCCAAAGCGTCCCAGAGCTGGTGACACCGGGAGCAGCCCTCACTCAGGGACACACAGCAGGTGAAAAATAAATATCCCGGGCCCGCTCCCCTACGTTGGGGTAACTCTGGGGAGTGCTCCGTGCCGCCTCCCCAGCCGTGCGTTTTGCTGGATAACACACCTACCCTGCACGCTCCCTTCTCTGTCTCACGTCTACCTTCCCCGGGGGCTATTTCCAGGGTCACCTGATACATTTCCTTAGAGCCCCTCTCTTGGGGGTCTCTGTCTGAGTGACTAACTGATATATTACTAGACCCCCAGATTTATAAGACGAGGGCATGAGCACGTGTGCACGCATGTGCGTGTGTGCGCATGTGGGGGGCTGGGGGCTGGGGACGGGGTGGGGGTCCCACCAGGCAGTGATCAGGGAGAGTGGAGGGTGGAGGAAGGCGAGGAGCTCTGGACCCTGGAATCCGGGGATCCCGGGTTCAAGCATTGGGTCCACGTGATCGTGGACAAGGACGTTTCCTCGGAAAGCCAGTCTCCCTTTGTGTGTGTATGTGGGCCAATCCCAACTTTAAAAGTTGACATGAGGATAAAATTCCATTTTCTTGGCCTGGCACAGGACAAGCACAGTGTGATGTGTCCATCTTCATGGAGAGCTGGGAGGAGACCCTGCCTCTGGGAGTTTGCTTCAAGAGCATCAGGAGGTAGAGGTTTATTTAGTTAGTTATATATGTAGACATGCTATTAAAAACTTAAACACCACGTTTTCTTCTATATGATAAACTGAGAGTGAGAGGGGAGAAATAGGAATGTAGTGAAAGAAGGGGACACAAGACGGGATACAGACATTGGCAGGAAGGAGAAAGGGAAGGAGAGGAGAGGAGAGCAGAGGAGAAAGGAGACAGGGAGGGGGAGAAGTGCGGAGGAGGACGGAGCGGGAGAAACCGTACATAAGCAAGTTTAAAGGGAAAAATCTGGGGTTTGCCCCAAGGCCCTTCTCTAGCGGCAGCAACTCAGCAGAAAGGGCCGCAATGTTTTCTCTGGTCACATTGAGCAACTGTGGCTCCACCCTTTCCCTTTCACACAAAAAAAAGTTTTAAAGAAAGGTTCCCTCGTCTGAGCTGCAGAAGCGCAGCAAGATGCGGGGCTGTAGCCTGCTGCTCCTCTGGGGTGAGTGTGAGGCTGACGGAGCGTGGGAAGTGGTGTGGGAATACATGGGAGGGAAGCCGGGCGTGGTGGCGTGGTGGCGCACGCCTGCAATCCCAGCACTGGGGAGGCTGAGGCAGGAGGATCCTTGCGAGTTTGAGAGCAGCCTGGGCTACAAAGTGAGCTCAAGGGAGCTCACTTGAACTGCATAGCGAGACCCTGCCTCAAAACGACCAAAAAAAAAAGATGGGAGCGGAGGGGCCAGACAAGGGACCATCATCCTGCGATGGAGATGCAAACCCTTTCGCAAAGGGACCTTTAATGAAGTCCGTAGACACCGAGAATCCCATCAGCCTGGGCAGGGGTTCTCAGTAGTTATGGGTTTGAGATGGGTTCCTGAGTCCCACTAGGCACTGAGGATGTGCAGCCAGCAGACAGCCGGGGCTGTTCGCTGTGCTCCTGGGTCTTCTGTGATGGTGGAGCAGACAGAGAGGCAGCCCCGGCTACAGCGGCTGCCCACTTTGCACTGCCCTAAGCTCCACACCTGTAGGATAGATTCAGTCTTCGCAAAGTCTGTGTGGTATCGGGTCATGATTGTTCCATTTTACAAAGTCGAAAACTGAGGCAAAGAGATGCCAGAAGTTTCCCAAAACTACTCAGCCAATAATGAGTAGAACCAGGACGCGAGGCCAGGTAGTCTGGCTCCAGACCTGCCCCAAATTCGAACGCTAAAGAACATCAGGTAGTAGCAGTAAGTACCATGAAAGAAGCTGCGCTGGGCGTGTTGGCGCGTGACTGTACTCCCAGCACTCGGGAGGCTGAGGCAGGAGGATCACGAGTTCAAGGCCAGGTTGGGCTACATAGTGAGTTCAAGGCCAGCCTGAATTGCATAGCAAGACCCTGTCTAAAAAAAGACAGAAAGAAAGAAGTTGTTCTAAGAATGGAACTAGAACCTACATACATTTGGTCATTTGTAGGAGACCATAATGCTGAGTGAAATAAATCAGACAGAGGTTGAATATCACATGATGTCTCGTATAGGAAAAACCCAAAATATAAATAACTGAAAGGACAGTAAGTAAAAGATAGAGGATAAGAAACAGGGAAGTAGTCTTCATAGAGGTGGAAAGGGGGCCTGGGAGAGGGCAGATGGGCAGAGAGCGAGGGGAAGTTAAAATGATTAAGGTGTGACAAGTGCATGTAGCAGCTCCCCAAGATGAAGGTGATTATTATGTGGCATGTACTATTTAAAAAAGAAACTAGAAAGGTCAACATCAGGTTTTATTCTATACAATAAACTGAAAGAGAAAGAATGAAAGAAAAAAGAGAAAGAAAGAGAGGGAGGGAGGGAGGAGAGGAAAGAGAGGAGA